ACCATTTTCGCAAAGGGCATAAAAATAAAATCAATTAAGAGGGCAAAGAAAAAGAGAAACTTCGCAAAAATAGCATCTTCGATCAACTTTCTTTACCCCAATATAATCCACCTTTTCTCAAACAGCAACAACAAAAAAGACTCTGGAAAAGCGCCAAAGCCACCGTTCTGGAGAACCGCTGCCATACTACACTCCACCCTACCAACCCCCTACTTTTGGTTTTCCGCATCCGGAGCAAATTTCTGTCGGCGATAGTTGCAGAATTCGTCGCTCGTTGCCTCCCTTCTCGTCAATCGATACCCCCCTTGCCCCTCCTCCGTACCAAAAATAATCAGATCCACGCCGCTTCAGGGACCAGGGCTCTGTGACCGGGACGGCTCGCTCCCTAATTAAAGACGGAGTCATAGTCTCGATTCCCCCAGAGGATAAGGGTGGTGTAACGGTTCGCCTTTTAGCCCTCAGAAAGCTTGAGCTCTGAGGAATGCAACTGTACCGCACGACTCCACCCAGCAGAACACATAAAACTCCTTCATACCAACCGAAAAGATCCCCGGAAAGGAAGGTCTCCTTTCAACATCTCGTACCCTTCCTACCGCCAGGGCTTTACTTCCTAACATTTGCACTCTCTACCTTAAGCGCAAGTCTACCTTTTGCGCAGCTGCTCAATTAGCGGGATAGAGTGGCCTGCAGCGAGCTCGTCGATATAGTTTCTCTGATAAAAGCGAAACTGGAATTTCCACGCCATTTAGCCAGCAAAAGGACTGTCAGCAAGAGATGTTAAATGCCCACCCGCCAACGCCACCACTGTCAATAGACGGAGATATAACACACAGCTTCAACGACTGTCTAGTACAGCGAGCTGGATCACCATACCTCCAAAGCAAACTGCAAGTTGACAATATGTATGTGCAAATGGCACACTCTCCGGCCTTGCAGTATACTCGCATTGAGATGGACCCAAACGGACAACCGAGAATCGCCGTAAGTAGTTAAATTTGCTCATTTCTGACAGAAAATGTGAAGCAGCGTCGTTCTCTAACGATCCGATAGGGCGACTTTGGAGTTCCGGGCCCATATAGAAACCGAGATGAGGTTGTTTACCCGCAAATGGTAAGCTCCGAGAAACGAAGCTGCACTAACTCCTGACCATTCCAATGCTAATCAACCTGTTATAGGCACATCTGCGCACGTCGCAAATACCCCTGGGTCCTCTGAACCGAAGTGTTTCGCCTCCTGCCCCAGGCCGCGTCAACAAGACGCGGGTTCGAAGGGCGGCTAGAATGCGCAAGCGAAATCCTGCAAAGAGAGGTAGCGCTGACGACATCCACGTCCCACGTCCATTAAGCGAATTGATAAAGGAGATGCGAATCCCAGTACGGGACATGGAGGTCCATGTGACGCGATCCGCAGAGCAACGCCTGAAGGAGGTTGAGAAGAAAAAGGGCAAAATCGCACGGCCGATGAATTCATTCATGCTCTATCGCTCAGCATATGCGGAGGCAACGAAGGAATGGTGCTCTCAGAATAATCATCAGGTTGTCTCACGAGTAGCTGGTGTTAGCTGGCCAAAGGAGCCGCAGGAAATAAGGGACTATTACGAGCGCCTGGCTAACATTGAGCGAGACAACCATGACAAAGCCCACCCGAATTACAAGTTCGCGCCTAACAAAAGCACGACCACCCCCAAGAAGAAGAAGTCATTGCCCCTGAAGGAAGAAGAGAACGGCGACGTCAACGATCCGGACTTCACAATGCCTTCATATCAACATACAGCCAGACAAATGTCTGGCGCCTCATTCCGAGATGGGAGCTTTCGAAGCCGCACCCCTACGCCCATGGACCGCGATAGTTCGTACGACAGCCGCCAGGGGACACCATTCGAACAGAATGGAGATATGTATCTGAATGGCGACATGAACCGATCGTCGTGGCAAGTGTCAAATCCCGGGCGGCCACAGCCTGGCATGATCTCTTCCCCCGAACAAACACACTATTATCAACCTTCCATCCACCAAAGCATGCTAGGGCCTAATATCGAAGATGTGACCTTCAAAAAGATGGGAGTTCCAGGCATGCAATACGACGGACCAGGAGCCTTGGCCGGCCTCCCAGGCAATGCACATCCTGACTTGCTCCAACAGCAGCCGCTCCCACAATCAAGGACTCCAGTCTCGCTCAACGACTTACAAGTCGATCCGCAGCTTCTGGAATTCGATGGCCAACCTAGCCTCCCATCCAACAACGGGGCCAACTATGAGGGTCCAATAGATATCTGGCAAATGCCCAATGGAGAGCAACAGTTTCTCCGGTCTGGCCTCCCCACTCAAGAAGACGAACGATATCATTCACAATCTAGTTTCCATCATGCTGTGCAACAACCCATGGATGGACGGGAGATATGGAACGAAAGCCAAATTGATGCTGGAGGACAATTTGAAGATTGGATTAGTACTGGTACTCCATTTGAGTACGGTAATGCTCCGCAGAAGCATCTCTAAAAAAGGTTTCTCTGTTGCCCCTTTCTCTCTTCAGGTGATTCTTTGAGGGGTGGTCATTGTAGATGCGGGTCATGTTAATAGATCATACGCTTTCCATCATCACCATTCCACTTTCCATTCTACCCATGTACTTGTTGATTGCATTTTCCCCTTCTACCCATTCATTTTAATATTTCATCACTCCTTGAGGCGCCAACATGGGTCTGGCATCTCTTCAAGTTCTTGAACTTATATGCGGAACTTTGTTTTGGCGTTGAAGAGGTCAAGGTCGGCTATTCGGTCCCTTCAACAGTTCTCTCATGTCTTTGGTCGGTGGGAAAGGTCTATGCATGTCTTCGTCCTCTCTGCATCTTGTTTTTCATTTTTTTTTTCATTTTTTTCATTTTTTTTTTTTTCAACGCATGTTATGTTCACTGGTTGGGGGGTGGGGGGGTTGACTGTTTGATATTCTCTTTATTCATCTCTCACCGTGTTTTATTTTCTCTCCTATCCCGGCTTTATTACTGCGAAGTCCATTTTCTTAATTACAGGCGGTTGGGCGAGCAACAAATTTGGACAAGCCATTGGGATTTCAATACCATGCCTGGAACGCATGTAGTGTACTGTAGCTTACCATTAGTGTTAATGTGATTAGTCGTCGAATGTTACAATTCCAATGTTTAAATCTAGTAAAGCTTTGCGCTCTCTTCAAGAGCAATGCAGTTGATAGATGGTAGTAGTACCCCTTGGCTTGACGGGTGGGACGTGGGGAATAACATTGTGAACGGAATCCCCTTTCTGCGACTATATCTCATCTGTTAGCGCATTGTAGTAGGAATAGTATATGTCCTAAGAATAGCACACACATACTGGAATGCAGGGTTAATTCTCCTTCCACTATGCAGAAAGTTGGGGGAAGGGCGTTCGCCTGCAGTGGGGCTCGGAACCAGGCATTCAGATAAAGAGAGAGGCGTTTGAAAGCTGCAACAAGCTATAAAGCCGTGTTGCAGAAAGGAAGTCAAAATAGAAACATAGAACAAAAGAATGGCAAAGAAGAAAAATGCTCATGAATGTTGAATAATGATAATAGAAATGAATAAAGAACACCGACTGTCTGGAAACGCATAAAAGAAGCTTCCATTGTGTGTCGAGACTCCTGGTTTGGCTGCATGGTCTTGGCATCAGAACCTTCCGTCCACTGCAGATCAACCACCGCGTCACCCCCGAGTGGACGAGACACCGCGCCCCTCAAAGCATCCAGGCTCACAAACACAGACTGGCCATTAGGACTAGAGATATCCCGGCAGCCTGTGGACAGGTAATATTATTCAGTACAGGAGAATAATCGAGGCACTCCCTGCAGAGAGTAGGTTGCATACAGCCCCTGCAGTTCAGGACCCCGAAACCATTATTGGGACCCCGACATACCCGATTGGACCCAATGTACGGAGAATCGGGAAACAAACTGGTAAGAAAGACGTTCTATCTGCAAGATTCTCGCAATTTCCACTATCTGCATAGTCCCAGAGAAAGCAGTCCCGCGCGCTGTAGGCTAATACTTCAACCGCACTCTGTGGTTCGCGCTCTCAGGTCCAACATGCCAAACGCATGCAATCCCTCTCCCACCTACCACCATACCAGACAGAAATGGTACGCTCGGTGGCACGCGAGGTCCGCGAATTGGATAAAGATGTAGCGCGTATCTTGGAGCCGTTCGAAGGCACTTTCAACCCGTCCGAGAACCACGCGACCGCCTGTGCCTTACTCGTCGACCATTTGTCGATGCGACGGAACAAAAGATGCCTGCTCGCCTACCACCGCGCGCGCGCAGAGAAACTAGAAGAGTTCTGCTGGCAGGGCCGTGATGTGCTAGACGAGCAGATGCAGCAGGGTGGCGGGGGTGCTCAGAGTGGTGGCAGCCAGGCAAATTCCCTGAGTCCCGAGGAGATGGAGTATTTTCGCCAGTATAGCGATATGCTAGCGGCGTACAAAGGACAATGGATTGATATTGACTTGACGGGTAGTCTGGAGCCGCCAAAGGACCTGTTCATTGATGTGCGCGTGCTTAAAGATGCGGGTGAGATCCAGACTGAGTATGGGTAAGCGCTGCATTCTCCCATACGGCGTTCTTATTACGGAGCACCGCAATCCTTCAAAGAATTTGAATTTCTATGCTAGACTCGCGCACTCATCTGTTTCTCATTGCTAACATCTGCCCTTCGATGGTAGTGCCATTACATTGACAAAAAATAGCCAGTTCTACGTCCGGTTAGGGGATGTTGAGCGGCTTATAGCGCAAGGATATCTTCAACGGCTGAGCTAGTATGCGAATCTATAAATGATTCACCCTCGAAGATACATAACCCAATTTTCTCCCATTACGCTATAGGCGGGTTCATTGGGCTATTTACGATCTTGTCCCCGAAGATAAATCGTACACTATGACCGTTGTTCGCTCGATCCTGGAATAAATAAAGACTTAGTTCCAAAGCCCTCATTTCGCGCTCAACTGCTTTGCGAAGCGGCATTCTGGCGCTTCCACCCACGTCCGTTCAAGCAACTCTTCTACTTTCTACCAGCTTCCACCTCTGTTCGAGGAAGAGAATATGAACACCCCATGGAGAGAATATTGCAAATCCATTACTGGCGCGGCTTTTAAACTGTTTGCCAACGTCTGAGCCATGGTGTTTCATGATGAAGAATTGCCTAAAATCAGCAGTGAACCTTTTACTCAAACACACCAACTAATATTTGGCTCAGCTCTCACTCGCAGGGAGCGTATGGTTACTTCAAAGGACGAGGGAGATTTCTGATCGATTGAATTGAATCACTTTGACCTTCATGTTCTCGTGCCACAAATGGGATATGTACAATCTACTGTGATATCAATTTATCCTCCTCAAGTCGCTAAGGTATGTACATACATGTTTGTCTTTGCAATGGCCGTGGGGATAGACCATCGTGCTCCAATCACGTCAAAGAATTCAATTAGTCTTTTGAAATGTATGTATGTATCTATTATTTTGTGATGGACAAAGACAACAGGAATTTTGAGGAAATAAAGAAAATAGGTAGCCTTACCTTCTTTGCTGTGTACTTCACCAGATTTCACTGCCCAGTTCATGCAAAAACCATGCTTGCTAAAAACTCTCTCTAGGCTCATGGAAGTCAAACAACTCCTTCCTGTGCTGTGCTTTACTCAAAGAGAGTGAGCCAGGAAATAGGAATATGAACTAGATGGTTGTGCTGAAGCTCTGACCACATGGACAATTAAGCTTTTGTGATTCACTTAAGCTCAAAAGTTTATTTCACATATCTCATCTCTCTGTATTAATTAGCATTCCGCTGGGAATCAATGTACAGTACCATCATTGTTTTGCTGATATGTTTGTCTGGAATTTTCACTTCTGATGTGATCTTCCCATTTGCAGGACAGGGTCTACTCATCGCTTTGACATTATATATGAGTATGTCATATATATAATGCAAAAGAACAGAGCCCATTAACACAAGTAATAAAAGAGTTAGCTATTCAAAGCCCACATATGTATTAATTAACATGGGTTAAATTTAAAGATTGTAATATACTAACTAGTATTATACACGCAAGTTAAAATGGCAATTTTCACGGGGCAACAAGAACAACTGAACTTTGGTCCCAATTGAGTAGATAATTAATACCCATTTACCACGTTAGGAAACCCAGGGATAAAAATATTCTTTAGCTGCTCAACATCCTATCATCCAAATTGGCATTCTAGAACATGAGAAGAGCAAAGGTAAATGGTATCCTACCCCTACAAACAGAAAAGAATTTTCAAATCCTGGCATTTAGGACCAAAAAAGTTTCGGGTTCACTTACGTATTTCAGATGTTTCAAATACCTAGAGCTACAGCCCCCTGTTGCAGAGAACTGTCAGTTTATCTAGTAGACCTCATCAAAATACAATCAACAACTTAACGTTGCAGAACAAAAATATATGACATTGACAAGAATGGATGCACCAATGGCAAAAGTCTTAGAATTTATCAGTCCTGCATCTGATATCTATCAGAAATTTCATAAAGTGTTGATATTTTTAATTTTTCCTTTTGAGAGTTTGGCTGGCGGGGTTCGGATTCCCGAAGGTTTAGGGAAATCTGAGTTTCATCTTTTCCACTTCAACAAACCCGTCTTCACTGATCAGTCCTCAGGACGATGTCCTGTCACTCGAAACCCTTAACCATCGCGAAATCTGTGTGGAAATTATTATGGCCGACCGTTAGGCCCCTCCATGCTCCTGCCGGCACATGCTATGTTCGCCATTGCTTCTAATCAACCCAAGCGGCTAGGTTCTTTCCGACGGCCTAGATGTGTTCAGAGAGCGGTTCAGCCCTTCCAGTAGCGATCAGGTCCTGTACATGTTCATCTACAGTACATATGATCCCTTGCCCAATCCTTTGAAACCGGCGAGACGATATGGCTCCCAACAGCGCGGGAATGCGACGGCGAGTTTCGCAGTCTTCGATCCAACCACATCAACGCGAGGTGCAAGACGATTTGGTGCGTACACAAACAGACGAAGGAAGAAGCGAGAATATCTCTGTCTCTACGAGTAATACCCATTCTGGATCCCAACCGTACCATGGGGAAGAGAATTGCTCTCTTCCTCCGATGTCGTTTTCCACATCTCAAAACGAGAGGACACCGCTCCGGTCGTTTTATCACCGATCCTTTAGGGGCTCTCTAGGTGAGCTTCACTCTCTCTCCACTGGCAATGGATTATCCCAAATATCGTACTAAGGTATATGATTTTTTTCGGATAGATGCCGGCCAATACTCATCTCGTGGCGTTCGTGAAAAAACGGCAGAATTGGCATCACTGGCGTTATTTAACAGGGAGCGAGATTGTACCGACTCTGTGTGGCTGGAGCCGCAAATTGGCGTGCCAAATAACTTCGGTGTATTTGTTGATGGCCAGCGTGATATCAGCAGGTCTCGCTGGACGCAGAGCCAACCGGGGCAGATCGAAGAACTCTCTGCAGCCGATTCTCGGACAGGAGCTTTTCATTCGCCTCCAAAAGTTAGCACTTCAGCCCTTACGACGATGATCCGCGATTTCGCACCAGATAGAAGTAATGATGGGCTAAGTGAAGAGCCCTTTCAGGAAGATTTTTCGCACCCAGACCCAGCTCTCACGCTGTCGCGCGGTTCGAACGTGCCAGATACAGAACGAACTGCACTTCTCAATCCGTCTCGAACCAAGAGTCGGGATTACCGCACCGCCCCAATTGATGTAGAAGGCCAAATTACTAGGTATAACCCTTTGGATAAATTGCGTGCTATATGCGCAAGGGGAGGTTCCCGGTGCTTCCATCGCTTGAACCCGCAGGCCTGGGACAGAACGGTAATTTGGCGGAAGGGAATAGTTTACCCCATCACCCTTCTTCCTGCCGTATTTCTCGGCCTCTTGCTCAATATCCTAGATGCACTTTCTTACGGAATGATTCTTTTCCCGCTGGGTGAGCCACTATTCGCTCACCTCGCCCCAGATGGCATCTCCATATTCTACGTCAGTACGATTGTTGCTCAGCTTGTATACTCATGTGGTGGTTCGGTTTTCAAAGGAGGTGTTGGTTCTGAAATGATTGAGGTTGTTCCATTTTTTCATAAAATCGCGTTTATGATCCTCAAGAAGGTTGGCAAGCAGAACGAGAAAGCAGTTCTCGCGACCACCATCCTATCCTATGCCATCAGCTCCGTGCTGACTGGATCTGTCTTCTTCCTGATGGGAGCTTTCAACCTGGGCTCGCTAATAGGGTTTTTTCCGCGCCACATCCTAATCGGATGCATTGGTGGAGTTGGGTGGTTTCTTGTCGCTACGGGGGTTATGGTATCCGCTCGTCTATCTGGCAATCTTGAATACAACTTAGAGACTCTAAAAAGGCTTTTCCAGCTTGATACTGTTTTCCTTTGGACACTTCCCCTTATCGGCGCTATTGGCTTGCTTGTGATAAAGCGATTCGTCAAGTCAAATTTTCTTGTTGGGGGTTATTTCATATCTATGGGTGCTGTCTTTTATATTTTCAAGTTCTGTTTAAATATACCGCTAGAGACTCTACGGAGCCGCGGTTGGGTCTTCGAGGCTCCATCTTCATCAGAACCGTGGTACCATTTCTATACATTATATGGTGAAGATATCATCTACCCTCCCGATGCCTATCTAGAACAAAAAGGCAGCTGACAATCACCTAGATTTTTCTTCTGTTCATTGGTCAGCACTCGCGGAAACCATTCCTGCTATGTTCGCATTGACGTTTTTCGGTGTGCTACATGTGCCCATCAACGTCCCCGCTCTGGGTATCTCGACCGGCGAAGACAATTTAAACGTTGATAGAGAACTTCTCGCACATGGTATTTCAAACGCAGTGTCGGGTTTTTTCGGTAGCATTCAGGTAAGCGAAGGTGAGAGATGTCCGGTGTATGGGGACCGTTATTTTGTTAACTCTACATAGAATTATCTCGTTTATACCAATAGTCTACTCTTCATCGGCAGTGGCGGTAACAGCCGTTTGGCAGGCGTGATGCTCGCTTTCGGCACATTTGGCATCATGCTTGTAGGGCCGGGTATAATTTCTTATATCCCAGTAGTGATTGTTGGCGCCCTTATCTACATTCTTGGGATAGAGCTAATGGAAGAGGCTCTGGTGGATACGTTAGGAAAACTACACACATTGGAGTATCTTACTGTAAGTTCCAGTATTCACTGCCAACCATTTGGTTATACTTGCATGGTATGTCCCTTCGCAACTATTTACTGAAATGCTGTGCAATAGGTGGTAATAATTGTTGTGACTATGGGAGCATGGGACTTTGTGATTGGAATAGTCATCGGCATAATCCTCGCCTGCGTAAATTTCGTCGTCCAAACGGCGCAGAAGTCCGCTATCACAGCAACATACTCAGGCCAGGTAGCCATTTCTACCGTCAGGCGACATCCCCTACATGTCAGATTCCTCAAGGATGCGGGTAAGCAGACATTTGTCATTAAGCTGGCCGGTTTTCTATTTTTTGGCACAATTGTGAGCGTCGAGAACACGGTGCGGGGGTTGATCGAGGAGAAGACATTCAAGGACCAGCCGATACGTTTTCTCATTCTTGACCTTAAACATGTGAACGGATTAGATTTCTCCGCCGCAGAGGCCTTCACGCGGTTAAACAGGATCCTCTGGAAACGGAGGGTGCAGATGATTATCAGCAGCATTGACGTGGAAGGGGAGATTGGGAAAAGTTTGCAGAATGTCGGTCTCTTTGAAAAGGAGAACGAGGTCGAAATATTCGAATCTCTGAACTCCGCTCTGGAATATTGTGAAAATGAACTACTAAAGGTCTTATATCAGCGAAAAGACACAATGATAGGGAACGGCGATCACACCCCTCCTCAATTTTTAGGTAGGTTCTTAGAAAAATATCAACGCCATGTATTTTATCAATTAAACTTTCTCTCCTAACATGATAACAACAGACGTATCACGGCCTCAACCCCATATACTCCCAGACGCATTATTCAATTCCCCAAGAGGCCACTACCTCCACCAGGTAGCAACAACAGCCCTTCGCGAAGAAGAAGCCGACCCCGTCTCCAACAAAACCACATTCCAAAAATGGGACTCGTTCCAACAACCCCTCCCCCTTCTCCTCCAAACGTTTCACGGCCTAACGAAACACAACGAGGACTTCTGGTTCCCGGCCTGCACCTACTTCACGCGCGAAGTATTCCCGGCCGACTCAGTCCTCTACCGTACGGGCGAGGACGCCACAAACTTCTACCTCCTTGAATCGGGCATGTTGCGAGCAGAGTACGAGTCGCCGCAGGGCAGTTATTCGGAGCTCATCGTCGCGGGGCGGCCGTGCGGCGAGTTGCCCTTTTTCGGCGAGACACGGCGCACAGCTACGGTAAGAACGGAACGGGATAGTGTTGTGTGGCGCCTTGGGAGCGAGGAGTGGCAGCAGCTGAGGCGGAAGGAACCTATGTTGGCGCAGGAGCTGATGAAGGTATGCTTTAAGTTGACGTCGGAGAGGATGGAGAGTATCACTGGGTGAGTAACTATTGTGTTTGTTTTTTCATCAACGATTTAAATTAAAAAGGGGGTTCGTTCAACTGAGCTAAGTTAACCATTCAACCCCCACCACTACAGATACGTCCTCACGACTGTCTAGGCGACTAGATTATTAGGCATCTTTTTTATCTTATTTATTTTTTTTTTTTTTAAATTTCGCTAGCCCCTTTCACCAGCCCACTGCCACAAGAAAAGAAAATCAGCATGTATCAATTAATATACCGAGGGAGGAGGAGGAAAGCTATATCTCCCGCGACTGTGTTACCACCGTACCTTGTATTTTTATAACTATTATATAACTGCTATCGATATAGCTATATGGCCAGTTTACATATTTTTCAACAACCATTGAAATGTGTTTTGATAGGCAGGGGTGGGGGGAATTTTGTATATATCCTCAAACCAGTCGGCTAAAAGCCATATTATTACCATGGACGCTAATAGAAAAGAAAATCCCAGTATTTACTCTCTTACCAAGTGAAAGAATATGGTGAGTGGGTGGGTTTCGTGATCTCAATAGATAGTAACCTCATTTTATGAAACCTTGGAAGTCTCATTCACCCCAGTAAAGTAATGTGAGTAAATAGTGAGTGAGTCGGTTTTGCTGTTCTCTCGTTTTGCCCCTTCTCCCAGTTTTTTTTTTTTTTTTTTTTTTTTTTTTTTTTTTTCGCCTTTAATCCCGATTCGCTTCCTCACATTCATTAAAAAAAAAGAATCATAATAAATACAATTTGAAAGTACTATACATACAGGTAGAAAAGGGGTAAAACTAGGAAAGGGGATGATATTGAGAAAACAAAGGAGAAGAGAACAAGAAAATAATCCGTCTTGAGCTAATAACGTATGCATGAGATACAAAAAGATTTAAGCAAGTGCTATCAGGCTTGTCTTATGAAGAATTCCGCAGAGACAAAAAAAATGAAAAAGGGATATAAAACCAAAACCCCCAGTGCAAATTAACAGAAGAACCAAGGGCGCCGGCAAGTGCTGAATTATGTTTGTGGGTGGGTGTGTGTTTCATGGTTCAACTTTTATGGTAACATTATCATCCTTATGGGGTCATTCGTGGGGATTGCAGCAATCACACGGGCGGGTAAACGGGTAGCGTATAAAATAAGATCAAAGGCCAGTCGAAAAAAAGACGCAGAAATTTAAATAAACCGCACCGGTAGAAAGTGGCTTGTCTGTTTGCTTGTTCGTTTCCAAAAGCAAAGCAGATCAAATTGAAGAAAAGCGATGTTTCGTAAAAGATCTACTCTTCTTCACTTTCTTCAGAGTCATCATCTTCGCTGCTCTCGGCACCTTCGACGGATTGTACTGTTAAAAAAGGATTCCTAGTTAGTATACTTTGGTGAAAGCAAAACAAGGACTCCTATATCAAAAGGCAACATACTAGGCTGTGATGAATAACTTCCTCTACCTCCGCCGCCACCGCCTTGGAAGCGGGATATAGTACCCTCAATACTATTGATCCGTGCTTCCTGTTCATACTTGCTCATAGGCTTATTCTTCTTGGGCTTCGGCGGAGCCACAACCGCAACAGGTTCTGGTTCGGGTTCATCAATGTCCATAGCTGAAGGGGCATGTTTCTTCACGAATTTTAGCAACACAAGGAGAACGTCGTTGGGCAGTTCATCAATATCAAGCTCGATTTCTGCTTCCTTGGTATCCTATTGAGTATTCTCATGTCAGTCTATGTATGTAGCAAATAAAAAGTTTAAATGTCGAGTAAAGTACGTACCTTTAATCCAGGGACATTCGACTGGATGATCTTGAGCGCCTCGGTCATTCTCTTTTCAGGTAAGCTGCTAATACCGTGCGAAATAATTTGCTTCTCGCGATAGGTAACCCAATGCTGCTTTTCAGGCTTGCTCGATTTCGAGCCACTCTTCTTGTCTTTCTTACCAGACGAGCCAACCGTTGTCCCAGAACCTTTCTTGGTTTCCTTCTTGCCAGATTTGGATTTGCCTGCTTTCTTCGAGCTACTGGGAGGCGTCTTCTTCTTCTTTTGAGTAATTGCCTCGACTTGCTTGGACATCTCCGCAATTTGTTTCTGAAGCTGATGTAGTTTCTCTTGATCATTTTCGTCCTCACTTTCCTCACCCTCTGAATCGCTCGGGTTGTCTGACGTGCCAGCACTTTGGTGACCAGAGGACGGCTCATGGGCTTCGATCCATCGACGCTTCTGGCTCCATTTGTTATCGAAGACCTCCTCCAAGCTTTTTCCGGAGTTGTAGGTCGGATCTCCAGGGATGTTGAACTTGTAGCAATTTTTGAACATTAGACGAACGTCAGCCTCCATCTCCTTTGCATTCTCATACTGGCCGGTTTGCAGCTTGGTTTGGACAGTTTGCAAATCCATGGGCTTTTTGATTATACTATGGTATGTGGGGATATTCAAGGCAACGGGGTCAACGGGATAGTAGAACGGAATGGCGATAGATTCGTATTTCTTTTTATGGAGCTCGTCAAGAACCTCTTGACAGAATTTCAGCTCCCACTGGAATTTCTTCTTCTTGGGCTTTGCGCTGTAGATTAAGTCGCGATTTTTTGGAGGGTGGATGGAACGCTTCGGCCTACCGTCCGCTGTGGTGGAATCTCGGCGGATGAGAGGCAAGCCCTCCGGCCCAAGGGCAAACGTTGTTGTTGGAGAAGTTGCATTTGTTGGTCGCGCATTAGTCCCAGAGGCTCTTGAGTCACGTCGAGCAGGTTGGGTTTTGGTGGGCACAGCCGCCACTTTCTGGGCCTTCTTTTGAGCGGGGCTTGTTTCCACCTCATCTGGACCAGGAAGTTTGGCAAATGGCGCTCAAAGCTTTGCTTGAGATTCGCGCCTTCCATACTAACTACATGCTCCGGTCCATTGAAGGTGACGGAGTTGTCGACCATCAAGTCGAAATCGGATGTGACTGCAAAAAGGGAGGTATATGATCCTGCTTTCAATTTCTCTTCAATAGTTCGCAAATCCATAGGCTGTTTGACGATAAGTGGATAATTTGGGATGTTCAACTTCACAGGGTCCACCGGTTCACGGAAAAATCGAGAATCATGAACCCGTTTTAAACCTTGAATGCATCGGACCAAGAATTTCGACTGCTTCGCGGTGAGAGGAGCATCTACCTTCCAAGCCTCATGTCCCGTGGCCGTTGATTCACGTCGCAGTTCCGGAACTTTAAACTCTGGTGCAGTATCACCTGTGGTATCGTCCGTCTTCGTCCGTTTTGGTGATGGTTCCTCAATGGAATCTTCATCCCGTTCGCGTGGCACTTTG